ACATTAGCTGAGAGTCTGAACGGGGCTAAGAGCAAAGTGGATTGTTACTGACTTAAAACAACAGTCCCAAAGATTTTGATGCAAACTCCTAAAGTTTTTATGTCCTCCACAAATGTTGCATTCCAGGTTAGGTGTGTCTCATCAGAGGCTGATGAAGCAGATTGACACTAAAACATAAAAGATGCATCGTTTTCCATTGTCTTCATTTGGCAAGATGCGTCAAACTGCATCTCCAGACATTTCTTAATCTCAAATATTCATCTTTATTGGTTTGTTAACTTTGGATGAAACAGTGCCACAGCTAAGAAAAGCATAAGATAACCTGGATGTCCAAACAGAGGTGGAGTAAACTAAATATACATATGTATACATACTGTATATGGTACATGGTACGATGTTGTCATTCGGCAACAAACCTTTTGAGTACCTTCCACACACACACAGTGCCTCCAATTTTAAGATGTAGTGCAAAAAAAGAGATGGGATCCTAAGAGAACCAGTAGCAGTGTTTAAATTTGTCCCATGACTTTCTAGAGTAAATTTTGACGTCCTTTTCTGCAGACCTCTTCGCAGGGAGGTGCCGCACCATTTGACTCCTCAAAAATCATGAAATAAAGTATTTTCTTTACATTTTTTTGACGAGGTAAAAATACATATTCAACAATGAGTGAGTTAAGTTCACTATTCTGTGGTTTATTGCACTGTATTTGGTCATTTAATAATATTAAACTGACAAAATGTGGATATTGCCATATGGCAACACTGATTGAGATTCCAATTCTGTTGCTAGTCTGGCATGTTGACGGTATGCACTTATCTTCTAGAATCTGCTATAATAATGCATTTTGTGAGTCATTTCCACATTGCATATGATTAAAATTGGCACTCTTTTCTTCCATTTACAAGATGAATGCAACAATGCTTTATAGTTTCTTATAAAAGGAAACCAAACTAACGCTTCTTGTAGGTGGTGAGGATGAAAGATAAAGGCAAGAGTGATGATGATGGAGACAGCCAGAATGATGAAGACTATGAGCTGGCAAATGAGGACATTATAGGACAGTGGAGACAGCAAGGACAAGAAAAACATTGGGGACATGGGGGCAGTGAGGGTGAAAGTGCAATTATTATTTATGCGTTGCATTAAATTGGCAGGTTTATAACATACTGGGAAGAGGAGAAAGACCACTGCACCAGTTCCACCAGCCGCTGTACATTGGGACAGCACTGATCACTGGCCTGCTGGCATGGCAAAAAGAGGCCGGTGCAAATCCCCAGGCTGTACAAGTSTTGTCAGAGTGCAGAGCACAAAGTGTGAGAACTACCTGTGCCTCACAGAGAGGAACTGCTTCATCAGTTCCTACAAGCAGTAAGGCAAAGACAGCAGCATCAAGACACTCAGATCAAATGAAAATAATTATTCAAATGAAAAATTCCAATGAAATGTTAAAAAATACATTTTTAATGGGTTTTAAATTTCAAATGAGTTGCATTGTTAACTGTTAATGCTATTGGGGACTTTTAAGATATAGTCTGAGTTGTTAAATAAAGGCTTTTACAACAATAAACCAAATTCTCTTGTTTTCAATTATTTCCACTGTGGTAGTGTTGCCATGTGGCAACGTCAATAAAAAATAACTAAAAGAATAATATTTTTTGATTATGTTTACTTGGTCTATTTTATGTCAAAAACACATCCCAAATACAGCTGTGATTTTCTAACATTTTATCAATGAACCCACAAAATCTCAGTGGAAGAGACGTGACCCCAACTATCACAGGTTTCTAAACTAGTCAAACCTGGGGCTAATGACGGCACAAATGCTTCCCAGATATTCATTTCTTTTTGTGCTGCTTTTTTCTTGCCATGGTTAATTTTCAGTTTTAACATAATGAGGATCAGCTCAAGACACCTGGAATTGGACGAACCACAGTTGGGTCTACTGCAGCTTTGGGAACCTGATGTATATGTTGGTCAGCTGTCTGTAAATAACAAAGGCATATTTTTTATGCACGTCATACACCATGTTTCACCTTTTACCCATGAAATTCTGTGGATGGACTGGGGAACAAGAGGTTTGACGTTTAGGTCCTGTCACACTATGTTGTTTTAGAACCTTTAGAACTTGAGCCAACTAATGAAAATTATGTTCTGACTGTTTTACTCATATCAGTTATACATTTGATCTAATTGCATTACCGTTTGTATAGGTCCAAAAGACGCTCCCGGTACGTATTTTTTATTCCACGTTCAGCTTAGACATCTGTAGCTAGTGTTGGACAAACTTCATCTTGTCTAAAACATGACAGGGCTTTAACAGCAGCACGTGGAGCACTTCTGCTGCAGTCTCGATTTAAATCCAGCAGGAAGTTAATATTATTTCTGCTTAAATAACTGTAGCAAATTTAACAACAGTGTAAAGGTTTGTGTTTTCTGTCTTCCACTATGATGTTTTGATGACTTTATGGGCTATATGGATAAACTGTTATTAGTTAATATGGTCCAAGCAAGCCCTCATCCATTATGGGTGACTTAAAATGTCTTTAAAATGTCATTGTGGTTTAGGATTATTTAAACCTTTACGTCCCTATCATTGTTTACAGTGGCTTTTATTTCAGCAAAACTATTACAAATGGGTGGAAATGCTACAGCTAGCTGCTGCTGACAGCATCTGCAGAAATCTCTAAATCATTTTCTAATGTGAAACTGAGAGCAGTGTAACTTTCCATCGTTTTCATCAGAGGTGTACCGTAACTAAGTACTTTTACTTTGTTACAGTACTTAAGTAACTTTTTGGAAGATTTGTCATTTTGCCAAGTATTTTTTAAATCACAACTTTTACTTTTATTTCATTACATTCAAGCTATAAAAATGATGCCTTTACTTCTTTGCTTTAAAATTTATCCCCTAGTTACATACTAATCATGAAGTGTTCAATTTACTTGGTTTCACTAAACCAAGTTGAGTTTATAAAAAAATTTACACAATTTCTTTAAAAGAAAATTAAATTGCTCAATTTACTCAACTCAGTTTAGGAATTTACTTAACCTGTTTGGTTAAGTAAATTCAACACTTCATTTCTTTAAAGTACTTTTATATCATTGTGGGACATTTATTAACTCCTAAGTAGTTTTCTCATCAGTGAAAGTCATTTTCTGGTATGGTAATTATTTTTACTTTTACTTAATTATGGTTAAGTACTTTACCTCTGATTTTCATCAACTTTTAACTTTTACAATGTTTTTATTAGGTTTTAATTGTATTCAAACTAGCCTTTTTACTCATCAGTCCTGTCAGATTTGAACAGTTTTTCCAAACTGAGTTTATTCAAAGAGCTATCTAAAACAGGTAAGATATTTTTTTCATATCATTTGCACAGAACCTCAGCTCAAAATGGCTGAAATATTCTGTATTTCCATAAAGAAGTCACTCTCCACATGAAGCTATATAAAACAAACATCACAGCTTTTCATTACAATTATAATTTTATTTTTCAATCAATTAATTAGCATAATAACAAAATAAACCATACAAACAAGTAAAACCAGTTTTATCTTCATGGCTGGAGGTCTAATGTTGCCTGATGTCATAATTAATGTTGAAATGGCGCCATCTAGTGTTTAATTTATGTGACAACAACCACGACACAATCTGAACTTCAAATCAGTGGAAAATCTCATGTTTTCTTTTTATGTACAGATTTTATTTCAGATGCCAACAGTAATAAACATGAAGCTACATCACATCGTCTGAGGAGCACAGTACAGTTTGTTCTAATATATTAAAGGAGCATAGTGATTTTTCCTGTTCTGTTTTACCATTTTAGTTAGTTGACTAAAGCACTTTGGTCAGCTTCAGTTGTTTTTAATGTGCTCCAGAAATAAATCTTGACTTTGGACTCATCTGGTCGAAAACAGCAGCTTCAAAGGACGTGTTAACGTAGCACAAACATCACAGCTGGCTACAAACCGGAGAACATCGCTTCTCTTGCGCCTGCAGACATTTTGAAGCCTTTCAAGTGTTCTTCAAAGCTCACAGCAGCAGAAAACAAGAGTAAACCTCTGTGTGTCTGAGGTGCAGAGAGCTTTGCATGGATTTGCACAGCGATGGCAGCAAAAAAAAAAAGCTGAGAGCAAACCAACAAAGCTCCCTGTAAACTCAGCTCCGTTTTACCTTGAGGCGCGAGCGAGGAGTGTGTGAGAGGCGACCGGCAGTACCTGAAGTGCTCAGACTGCAGTAGTTCAGAGGTCACTACCTGCACTGTGAGCACTTTTGAACTGCTGAGACGGAAACATGTTCAGCTCAAAGTGACCGAGGAGGCAGGATGTCTGTAACTCACTGAGAAACCTTTTAGACACTGAGCTCAAACAACAGATATCAAGTATATTTTAAACAAATCTTTAAATCAAAAGGAGTCAAACTCATTTTCACCGAGGACCACATGAGTGTTATGTTGGCCCTCAAAGGGCCAGTTGTAATTAACTTCAACGTTTCATACTTAACTTCAGCTAAACACGAAACATCATGTTCCTCATCTCATTGCTACAGCTGAGCACTGCTGATAAACAATAACTGAGCTCTACCTGGTATTTCCTGCATAGAAATAGTGTTTGTTCTCTTAAAAATACTGGAGAGTACTACATGTACGACAGATGAAATGTAAAATAAATAATACAAAAAATTTAAATTTTTACTCACTGATGAGTTGTGGTGAGTATCTGCCATCTTAAATTCTGAACTCTCCTATTTTCCTATAGGGAAAAATGTGCATAATCCACATGCATTATGGGAGCTGTAGTTTATGGTTAATGCTGGCTTTAAAGCAGCTTATTCAAGACATTATTACTGTGCTATCCAACTAAACTGCTCAGGGACGGGACAAGTATTATCTTTCACCTTTTAAATTTGTTTACCTTGTTGCATTCATATATCCCCCCGGCAGACCAGACAAGAGTCACCTGCGGGACAAATGTGAAGTTTGACACAGTTGCTTTAAATATGTTACACTTAACACTGTAGAAGGTGATTGCATTAAAAACCATGACAAAAAACTAGAAAATAAACAAACCCCTTCAAAAAACAAATCAAAACATAAAGATCTATAGAGAGTAACCTGATCAGACTTTTGGTAGCTGTAGCTAATTTCAAGCTAAATAAAAACCTTTTAATAACAATGATGTTTTGGTAAAAGGAGGAAAACCCAACCCTGTTTGGAGCTAAGTCAAGCTTCACAAAAAAAACTGAAGTCATCGAAAGTTGGACTTTAAATGACTGAACTGACATTGTTTTTATATCTTTACACAATCATAGTTAAGGTTTTATTATTTTTGAATATTTTACCACAGAATGTTCAACTTAGTTTGAATTTTCAGAAATTGTACTGCTACAAACATCACACCTGGGGGCGGCTGTGGCGTAGTGGTAGAGCAGCCAACTTAGAATCAGAACGTCACAGGTCCGACTCCCCGCCATGCCCACATGTCGTGGTGTCCTTGAGCAAGACATCTAACCCCTACTGCTCCCCAGGTGCTTACATAGCTGCCCACTGCTCCACCTGGGTGTTTCTCACGTGTGGTGGGTCAAATGCATAGGAACATGCATTGATGACAAATAAAGCACCTTTACCTCACTTCTCATCCAGTTTAAGCTTAATAACAAAGATATTTTCATCGTTTCACTCAGAACATCACCCTGCTAAAAGACTTGGTTTCCTCTCACAGATCCTCAGAGTACAAAGCAAGGGGGAATGTTGTTAATATTATTAACAACATTGTTGAACAAAGACCTCCAAATCATGCCCTAAACACTGACCTGTACAGAGAGTAAAATTATACCCTAAACACAGCACTATGGTACCCTAAACAGGGACCAACCACAAAAGACACCCCTAAACACAGAACAAGCAAGTGCAGATATCATCAGAGTGTCCAGTCTGCTTGATGTGTTTTTATCTGACGATCACACAAAACATGTGGTTATTTAAGCTATAAATGTCTGCATGACAAATTAACAGAATACTGTTTATTTCAACTTCGTGCTGTGTAGAACCAAAGTAAATCACAAAATTATTTAATCTTCGTTTGTTGACAAATAAAAAATTAGAGATAAGTATTAATACTGAAACTACTCATAGATAATACAAGGATTTTAATGTACATGTAATTTATTAGTTGAGTTTATGAAGGGAACACAAACTGAATTCCTGGACATTTAAACAAACGTTTGTTTCCTCCAGATCCTGTTCAACTACTTTCTAAAATTTGGAAAATCCTTTGTAACTTTAAACATTTGTTTTATTAAGTCAGTTTTAAAACTCATTGTTAAATGTTAAAGTTTTTCTACACTTTATTTTTACTTTGCATATCTGTCTGTCTGTATTATTAAGAGTTTTGTCAGCAGGAGAAAGGTTCTGGGGTGTGGTTTAACTCTGCAACACTAATCAGTCAGTGGCAGCAGCTTCAACTTTCTATTGATTTATGGGGAAAAGGTTAAACTAATGGGTTCTCAGATTTATCTATTTTTTCTTCAGGGGTCGCCACAGTGAGCAAACTCACATACAAGCTTGGCAATTGTTTTTCCTTCCTGCTGTCTAAGGCACTCGTGGGAGCAGCAAGGGTTAAGAGCCTTGCTCAAGGGCCCACATTGAGGCAAATAAGAGTGGAGGCAGATGTGGGTGCTTCACCTTTTCCACCCATAGTTTTAGAAACAGTCCAGAGATCAGATAACACATCAGAAAACATTATTTTTACAGATCAAAAAAGAAAACAAACAGAAAAGAAACAACAGATTAGTGGAGTTTAAAACCTTGTGTTCCCGTGTTTCAGACCTGAGGCTCTTCAAACGCAGCCTAACATCCTGAAGAAGAACAAGCCCTCCGGCTAAAAGGAGCAACCAGGGCAGTCGATACTGAGCTACTTGAACAACTACACTAGATGCACCTTAGCTGGAGGACCATCAGACAGGCAGGAGAGGTTGGATTGGTTTGAAACCACATGGAGCAATCCTCTTTGATCCAGGAACATCTGAAACACAACACAGGCAGCAGATGAAACACAAACATTTTATCTGACTCCATTAATCAGGCAGGACAATAAACAGGTACTTTACAAGCTGGAGCTTTTTGTCAAACTGTTTGTTCGTCGTGTTGAAAAGATTCAAATGTTATTTTACAACAAAGAAGAGGTGAATTACTTCAGATATGAAGGCATTAATCTGTAAAAGACCCAGCTTTGCTTGAAGAGTTGCCAGGGAAGTTTTATAACAGAGTTTAAAATGAAAACTTTGTGATGAGGTTTGAGTTGTAGCCTTTTTGGTTCGTAATTAACTTTATGCAATAATAAATGTAGGCTGTGAAAGCACCAGGAGTGTAAGCGCTCTGTTAAACATCCATATCTGTAAATTTGCCTGAGTTACAGACAGTTTTGTATTGACTAAGGTCCATTAACCAGAGCGGCCATCTTGCATTGGGTTGACTCCAGAATTGAATCAGTTGTATGTCCAATAACTGTTTTATTAACATTCTAAAGAAAATCTCTTTGTGGTAGGGTTGGGCGATAAATCGATTTAATCGATTAATTCAAATTTTCCATTTATAAAGATTTAATTTTGGGAAAATCGAGATTTTTTTCCCCATCAGGGCACTCTTTGGGGCTTCTGTAGTTCAGAGGTCAGCCCACCTGTCCCTCAAGACGCTTGGTACATGACATGACAGTATGGCAGCTAAAAAAGAGGATCTACTTCCCAAAAAAGGCACTGTTTCTTCAGTTTTCTGGAACGGGTCAGGTTTTGCAACCTTGGACTTGGAGCAACGAACGCCTCACTGCAAAATCTGTTTGAAGGCTCCTGCTAAAAAGCAGGAGTACAACAAATTTGTTTCGACACCTGAAACAGAGGCACTCCCTTAAGTGGGAAGCAAAATCAATTAAGATCGAAAATCGAATTTGGGATTTAAAAAAAAGATTTTTTGGGGGTGGGGGGGTGGCATTTCGTTCAGCCCTACTTTGTGGTGCAAGAAATTTTTGTTAACAGATTGGGGCAGCTGTGGCTGGTTAGGGGAGTCATTCCTCTAAAGTGACAAACACACCTGAGTTGAATGAATGGGTGATTAAAAGATTTTTGCAGAACTTGAAGAGGTAATTAAACTATCAAATCAGATGTGTTGGAGCAGGAAAACAAGTAAAACGTGCAGGATGGTGGCCCTCAAGGACCAGAATTGGACACCTCTGGTTTAGAGGATGACTCAGCTACTACCACAACAAACTTAAGCTTAATACATGCAAAAGCAACTCAGTTATAGCCAGTTTTGTGTTTTTTCATCGACATGACACATTCCCAGACCTTAGAGCAGTGGTTCCCAAACTTTTTATCTTCTAACCCACAAAATCTCCATGGCAAAATCTTGTGACCCCAAGTATTACTGGTCTGAGTACACAAAATATGTTAATAACCCTAAAAACACAGGCTTTTTGACAATCTAAACAGCTTGTACACAAATATAAATACTTATTTATACTTATTTTGTGTTTCTGTAATAATTATATGGAAAATATTACATCAGCAATTATTTTATTACCCTTTAAATTGATTTCTGGAGATTATCCAAGGTGCTTCATGACCCATAATTGGGT